TAATCGGCACTACAGCAAGGCAACTTTTACTCTCCAACTCACGGTAACAGCAGGAAAAGAGGTCTCCTTCATCGCAAACATCTAGTTTTATCAGAATTCGTACTTTTGCCGGAGTGGGGCGGTAGCCCCACCTAGAGGAAATAAATTGTTATTGCAAAAAAAACGTTAATTGATCAGCTTACTGATAAAATCTACTACTATTGCAATTTTACGAGACGATTTACATTATTGTGATATTGAAAAGTTTTAAACTACGAGGGCTCTTGTAAAGATTTAAAAACGGTAATTCTATGGAAACATTAGTTACAGGGGGTCTTGAAAATGTTCATAGACGGAAATTAATTTTAGAAATTAATTTATGGAATAAATTAATGGGAATTTTAGTGACTTCGTCACAGGAGCATTATGAATTCTGATTGACTGGGCATGTTTGCATTTTAATGTATGCTGACAATGACGCATAGAAAAGTGCTTATACTGCATATAGTCACATGGTAATTGAGAGAGATAGGAATATGAGGGACCAGAGCCCAGGTAGCTGTTCTCAGGTACTCGCATTTCAGTGTCGTTACCTAAATACGCACCTGCCTCTTTCCTCATTTAACTATCTTACTTGTGAGTCTGGCGGAGCTTTCGTAATTGTAAATGACAGCCAGACATGTATTTTCTATGAAATTATAGTATTATTAATCATGTGATAAATTTTTAAATCCGGGAAAATAAGAGCAAACATTTTGTAATTTTGACAGTTTTCAAGATCAGATAGACTTACTTTCGATTATAGTTTATGACAGTGTCAAATAGTACGATAAATTTCAAGCATGGGAAAATAAGGGTTACGGATTTCAAAAATCGGTCAAAGTTTTGTATCCGTAAATTTTAAGCCAGACTGACTTTCCTCCGGTTAGGATATGCCAGGCTATTTCCATTAATAAAATGATTCACTTTAATAAATGTCAAATATTTATGACTGGGAAAATAAGTGGACTGGTCTTTCTTTTTCTTCATCTAGTGAACCCACCCAAAAATTATAGCCAGACTCACAAATGGTCGTTTTGTGTCACCATCCGAACACACAATGTCACATTCACCGACTGCGAAAATAAGTATAAAAAAATCAATGCCTCCTGGACTATAATTGTACAAAAAATGTTATTCTTTTGTGTAAATAAAGACCCGTTATTTTTTGTCTGCAACATGAAACTGGAATAGTCTTTAGAAAGTGATAGCATCCTATATATGATTCCTTTGAAAGATTTGATATTTACGCGTTTTTTATTGGTTAAGTTGTCAGGAAGTACGATCTGCGCCGATATAGCATCGTTTCGTGTTTTCATACAATACGAGCATATGCGAATCCTACTGTACAATAGGGACTATTAAAAAAAGAAAATACAGGATACATAGGGCTTAAGAGCTGGAATAAAATTGACAAAAAGGCATTTGTTGTGAATAAAATAAAAAATAAAAGTGAAATTAGATTCACACATTTAGTAACAGCGTATCTTATCTCTTTGCTTTTTTATTTTTGAAAACTAGGTACAAAATTAAAATATAAATGTTGAAACTGCTGTCAATGAAGTTAAATTATTTAATAATTTATTTGATATATTTAGTGTACAAACATTATATTTTAAATGTCCGTATATATGTAAGCTGTATATTATTAGTAACGTGTTTAGAAAATTGTGTATCTGTAATTTGTATTAAAAAGTAATAGAAAAACGGAAATAAGATTTTTGTTAGGTATTAACCCAGATAGTACAAAGTCGTCTTTAAGACGTCTAGCATAAAACATGAGACGTCTTTAAGACGTCTTGTATTTCCTGAAAGACGTCTTGTATTTCCTGAAAGACGTCTTGTATTTCCTGAAAGACGTCTTGTATTTCCTGAAAGACGTCTTTAAGACGTCTGATGTTACAAAAGGGGACGTCTTATTAATGGCGTATATTGGTTTATAGAGCCTTTAAGAAGACAGTAATAGCTTATAATGGTCTTGTGAATCCTTAAATAAGCCATAAATAAGACGTCTTTAAGACGACTTATTAATGGCCTATACACAGGGCCATTATAGGCTTATAATGGTCTTGTGAAGCTTTAAATAAGACGTCTTTAAGACGACTTATTAATAGCTTATAATGGTCTTGTGAAGCCATAAATAAGACGTCTTTAAGATGTCTTATTAATGGCGTGTAATGGTCTGTTTAGACTTAAATAAGCCATAAATAAGACATCTTTAAGATGTCTTATTAATGGCTTATAATGATCTGATTAGACTTATCTATAATCTATAATAATATCAAATAATTCTAAAATGGGTATCATCGTGCACGGAGGACGTCGAATATCTTAGTTATTAAAATTAGTAGAATAACCTTGCAGGTTATAAGGAATGCAAAAAATAGAAATAAAAATATTTATTGATAAAATATCTATTAATCACAGGTCACTAAGAGTTATTTTCTTTGTAGGGCTTTCGATATATCTCCTCTTTAGCCATAACTGGATTGAATGTTCTCTTTCTTTTTGATTTGCAGTTGCCTTTGTATAGTCGCTCCTAAAAAGAAATTTAGGTAAGAGCATTCTAGTCACCGGAAGTTATATTTTTCAAAAGTCAGTAAAAACCGAAAGAAAATTTATCTATAAAACAGAACAAAAAATGAATTTCTTAGAATTTTAAATCAATTATTTTTTATAACAAATCATTTAAGGCAAGATGAGCTATTATGCTTAATCGTATATTTTGACAATTTTACTTTAACTTCACTCAAAATGGCTACCTAATAGGAGTCTTTTGATATTAATAGTTCTCAAAATCTCCATAAAAACAAAAAATATGACGACGAATATCTGAATTAAATCTTATATTAAGAAGTTTACTTTTTAATTCATTTAATTATTCTTACTTAGAAGAAGCAGGATATTAATTTTCTGTGTATATAAACACATTTATTACATCTAGAAAGTACTTATTCCCTGAACGTGCTACATCGGTAACAAAACTCCACTATTCTTCCTTCTCTAGTTTTAGTCCCATATTATTTAAGTAAAAAGAAATATATAAACACAAACAAAAATGCACAAAATAGCCCAAAGACACTTATGGCGGCTATAATCGCGTACGCAATAAAATAATCAATAATTCACTATAAGCTTGGGCCGGCCATAGACATTTTTGGCTTGGGCTTGAATGTAGTGTTAAGTCAAACGTCAAACTTCACTTCATTTGATTCTTGTTAAATTTGAATTATGTAAACCGTGCACGTTCCCGTCCGACTGAAAGACGTTTGTAAGACATCTTAAAAACGTCTTTGAGTTCTCACATTAATACGTCTGAATTATAGCTTTTGCCAGCCGTCTTATAGACGTCTTAATAACGTCCTAGGACATTGAGACAAAACCAAGATACAAAAAAGACGTCTTTTAGACGTCGTGTGCTATCTGGGAAAAGTATCAAATGAATATACAGGGTGGGGTAGGAAATTATCCCGAATTTCACCAACGCTTTCAGCCAACGTTTCAGTCAGTATGTATCTCAGTCGCAAAAATAATGTCCTAGAAGGAGAAACGCACTTTTAATCAAAGTGTACTTTTTCCAAAATATCGATCGATTGTTGAGATGCAGCGTGCGATTTTTACTCGTTACCAAATTACTCCTCGAAATTCAGTTGTTAGGTTAAATTGAAAGTTTCCACCCACAACAATATCAATTACCGATCGGGAACTGAATTTTGATGAGGGATTTCCTACCCAGACAGCACACCAAATCCTTTGGATATCTACTGCACATCCCAATATCCACTGAATGTCCAGTCCATGGTGGATATCTATTTTATATCCATGATATGTAATTTATAGACATGCAAATGTCCATAAATAATAGTAATTATATAGCAAATTATTAAAAAATTACGCTATTGTGGCTAATAGTACCGTTCAGATATTTAAAATTAATTTTTTTAAGGTGTATTCAATATCCCATGGACATCAACTAAATATATCAAAATCAAGGCGCGAATGCAAACCATCGTGGATATCCACTAGATGTTATTTGATTTTGCTTACTAATTATAGATGGCGATACTACTTTCGCATCTACTCATGCTCGACCCGCCGTAATTGAATTCGATCGAAATTTTTGTTCTAATCAGACTCAATTAGAGACTGGAGTCGAGAATTTCCATTTACTGCTGAAGAGTCCTAATAAGGATGACTTTCTCCTTAGTGGGCAAAATCAAAGGCAGAGTGTTAAAAATATTTTGAGTGTTGGAAATATCTCTGCTATTTTCTTTCGACGTTATTCAATAATCATTGGTTACTTATGAACCTCTACTAAAGATAAAATATGTTGCTAAATATCCGAATATCTTCTATATCCTGGGATATAGACGGACATTTGGTTGGATATCCATATTGGATATATTGAATATCCACAAAATGTATTCTGTGGATATCTCTGGGATTTCTTGTATTTTCTGGAGATACCCATTATATATTTTGCTGGATATCCATTGGATATCTTCTATATTCTGGATATAGCGGACATTTGGATATCCATATTAGATCCACGGAATATTTCTGATATCCTGTGGATGTATTGGATATCCACAAAAGATATTCTGTGGATATCTCTGGGATTTGGTGTGTTGTCTGAGTAACGAGTAGGTACGCTGTACATTTAAGGTTTCAATTTGTGAAAATACCAAGTCTGACATTTTTCCGTCTAGAATGTGCAGTGTCATTTTTATGATAAACATTTAAATACTTAATTTAAATTATAATTTTAGTTATTTGAACAATCAACATCTAAACCTAAGTTATCATTTTTCCTAGTAAAATCAATGTTAAAATCACCACACAATACCAAATCACAATCGGGCTTCTCAAGTACATCAACTAACCCAACATTTGCTGTAGTACATCAGGTTATGCGTTACTTATCTAGTGGTTATATGATAGAATAATGAATTGTTATGTATTGTGCATTCACTAATTTCTAGGTGCACATTGTTTTAAAAAACTGGGAGAATTGTTGCAAATCAGGCGACGCAAAGACTTATACGATTCACATTATTTGTTCATTAAAAACACCGAAGATCCTGCCAAAGAAGATCAACAGTTGAGCGAAACTCTCAAAAAGAGTTACCAAGAGGGCCAGTCTAAAATAGAAAAAGTGGTACAAGAGTAAGTTGATGTGTTATTTTTTCTTTCCCATATAACTTTTTAGAGATCTTTCTACATACGAGGTTTCCAGAAACTTTTTTATCAAAGGGAAATGTAATGATTTATGTCTAGATTTACAAAATAGTCATCAACTTATAAGTTGTTTAATATTGTTGTAGCGCAGTTTCGCATTAGTTTATAATAATACAACAACGTGCATTTTTTTCTGCAATATATTTGGGTAAATAACGATTATTAATACTTTAATGGCAATGCTACAATTTCTAATTAAGGAAGATTGTAAAATTATAAATATTCTCAGATGGTGAATTATTTCAGTTTTAGACCTTTGTGAACTATCTGAATTTAACTGAAATGGACGCCACCTGTTTGTCATGATATTGCAACAATATAATTTTTAAAGGAAAAAACAAAACGGGGACCAAAAATAATTAAAGATAAAAACAATCTTTAATTCTCCAATTAAGAATTAGCAAACTAATGACGTAACAGTGCGTCACGAAGGAAGTATTTCCTAGAATAATGCAATATTGTAAAGAGTTTCATGAAATGTTAAACATTTTACTGTCAATTTTAGTTCTATTACAGTTAGCACTGAAGAAAACTAATTTTTATTTAAACGAATTCACGAAATACCAGGTATTGTTCTTACCTTTACCTACTCCTCGTGTACGTAGCCAACAACTACCACTTTAAAACTAATTAGTTAAGATGGAGACAAGGCAAAACATTTTCAAAAATCAGTTTATTGCAAAAATAATGATTCGTTGAAAAATTTTATACAATAAAAAATTTAATGAAACAGGAAAGTGAAAGTCAAAATAAAGTGATCGGTAATGAATTAAAATTTAATTAGTGAGGCCTAAGTGCCTTAGGACAACCCACCCTCCACACGTTACAGATAAAGATAACCTTTACAATAAATAAACAATTTAAGTTTAAATAGCTCCATTTCGACAGGACTCAAAGTCGTAGTGGCATGGTGAAATGGTCCTGTCATAAAAATCGTAGCGTATAGGGTCACTTTAATATCGGAAAATGATGTATACACCGATTTATTTTGTAGGTAATTATAAAACAAATTATCCTGTTTTTTTAAAATCTCATGGTTGCATACCTAATGTAATGTTATTAACTTACTCAAAAGTCATTAAAGAAATACATGATCTCGTTTTAATAAATTCAAAACATATTTATTATTGGTGGATCGCTACATGGCTCACCATGTATAAAAAGTACACATGGTAAAATCTTGACCTCTAAATTGCGAATGGGTAGATAACTTAATGAAATAATTTCTCTGTGGTACAACTGTAAAATTATTGAGTGTTTTTAAAAATATATTGTGATTTATTTGTGGATCACCCTGTATCTTTACATTTTTTAACCCATCCCTTTTTATGGACATCTGACCAACACTTATATTAAACTTCTATATGATTAGTGGCGGCTGGTGAGGGAGGGCGCTAATGCGCCGCCTTCCCTGCGAAGTAGCAGGAGTCATCTGCAGATTAGTATTTCCATATACTTAATCAGTAATTTTCTTTAACTTCTCCTAAATTTATTAACAATAAAAGAGTCAAACAAAATTAATGCAATAATCAAGTTTGTGAACGAACAATTTAATTAGCTACGGACGAGCCGAACCTGTACAATACGAATAGGAATAATACGGTTTTTCTCTATTATAATAAATGCGCGTTATAATTATTGTATCGGTGTAGTACCAGCAGCCCATAGTAAATCGCTGGACGGTTGCCATATGGTTGCCGATGTCAATGTGTAGATCGCGGAGTATTGGAAATAAATTAGGCATTTTGGATTCATGCGTTGGCGCCGTTGGCGGGCGCAGTTTAGTCAGCCCTCAACCCATTTGGCGATCGCTTTTTGTTTTGTTTTGCTATGTTGATCTAGTGTGGTTTTGTTTATCTTCGTAATAATTATTTATCACGAAAGTAACGGAATTGAAAAGCCTCTTATTCAGTCGCTTAAGTTTAAATGATTTTTTGGTGCCCTTATACTCAGCCTTCCCTATTACTCAAATCACGAGCCGCCACTGATTATGATACATCAAGTCAATCTGGCTTTTCGGTTTAAAGAAAAAATAACTAAAATCAATAATTCTCCACTTTAACGCCCTCTATCTCGAAAACTGGTCATATCGGATTTAAAATTGATACCTGTTTAAATGGTGTTAAAGTTATTATACAGGGTGTCCCGAAATTAGACGGTCATATTTTAACAGTGCAATCTACATCCTAAAACAGGAGTAAAAGTCCAATTAGTTTTCGAGATACAGAGGGTTAAAAGTAGAGTCCTGATGACACATTTTTGTTAATATTTTTTAAATGTTTAAAGATAACTAAGTGAAATTTGGTACAAATGCTAAACATTTTACGCTCTTTTGATCATCTTCATAGGTGGGCATATTATATTAGGGGGGGGGGGGGGGGAAGTTTTTGTTTTTAACATTGTTGACTACAAAATTTGGAATACCAATGTTTTCTTTAGAATAAAGCTACTTTTGTTGCATCTTGCTAGGACGCACCATTATCAAGAGAAAGACATTTGAAAATTTCATACCGGGGAAATTTTAGAATACAGGTTGTTTGTAGTTTTTGTAATTTTCTTAAAATAGAATACTTTTCAATAAATAAATCACCGTGTATAGTTTAGTGGTATATCCTTCCCAAAAATCAATTTATAAGTACAGGGTTTTGAATTATTCCTTAAAAAAATAATTTTATGTTGTTCTCTCTATAAGAAATGTGTACTATGCATTATTTTGTCAGTAAAATTCGATATTGAGTAGAACTTTTTGAAAATATGCTTCCTTAACGCCACAGTAGAGTTAATGAGATGTCACTAATAATTGTCAGTGGGACCAAAATTACGTCATCACTAATTTAGCGTATTTGAAATAACCAAAAGTTACTAATGAAATAGAAATAGTGGTGGAGATTGTCTCCAACGCTCAGTGCTATCGATACGCTTAATTTCGATAAAACATATTAATAACTTATTTCAACATAATTAAATAGAAAATGCTTCGACTCCAACGTATATTTAAAGAAACAAAATAAATAAAACAAAATGGCAATGGAGAATATGGACAGAACAGAATTAGAAAAAGATAATCCTGTATTAATCAAATTACCACATATTTCGGAACAGCTCAAGGCTAATTAAAAAATAAAAAAGTAGATAATGTGTATTTCATTCTCCCTGTTGGAAGCAGACCGCTATAGGCTTTTCTAGCCTTTTTAGCTGCACTGGAGGATCTGGCTTCTGAGGTGATTGGGTGGTAGGAATTGTGGTATTGATAACAATATCACTAATATCGCTTCGTATGTCAGAAGGCACTTTGAGACAAATTGTATACTATGAGGTTTAATCGAAAAACACAATAATAATTTTAAAAACAATTATTTTAAATCCGATTCATATTGTATTCAGTTTCCTAATATTTTCTTTGTTTACCTGTTGGCTTTGTACAGAATGTAACGTTGTAAGCTGTTTTGTAATTTAGTTCGCCTATAAAACAGTAACACTAAATAAATAAAGTTAATTTTCTGTGAAATGCTCTATGAACTATGCACTACAATTTCTTCGAAAAACTTTCGAAATTGGACGGCAAGATATTAATAATAGTTGGGGGCTTATAATTTGTTTGAAAGTCGAAAAAAAAACGTTTACATTCGTTTTATTTGATATACCTTTACAGGAAAACGAATGTATTATTGATTCCCTTTTTTTTCTGTAGGTATGTTACTAAACAAAATACAAAAGGAGATGATCCTGAGTCAAAACAAAGCGGTGATGATGTTGATGATGATTCAGATGATAGTAAGTCATCAGGTAGTGAAAATGAAGATGATAAGGAAAAGGAGAAATGAAGAATTTTATATGTTTATCTTTAGAATCTATTTTAAATTAATGTATTCATTAATAAAATTAATGTATTTATTATGAAATTAATGTGTTCTTTATTAATTACATTACTTTTATACCTGATACACTATTAAAGAAATATTGAAATTTATCCTTATTTTGTTACAAAGAAACCAATAATATATGCCCCGTTTGCATCCAGAAGTCGAACATTGCGGATAATATATTTGGGGGTGCACAGGGCCGTGTTAAGAGTCAGTCGCGCTCTAGGCAGACCCAAAAGCAGCGCCCCCCTCATATAATATCAATATGCCAAGTGTTTAAAGCATCACGGACCACCCACCCACCACAAAGTTGTTTGTCGTTATTTTTCAAAAATATTTTATCTACAACTAATTACAATGTTTTCCTTTTTTATTTGACTATCGATCACGATGTCTCGATCACTCGAGCAAATTCGTCAGTAACACTGTTAAAGTCCACTTTGGAGGTCACGTCAATTGCCGTATGTAAAATCATTAGGTTGTTCAGTTTTCCCTCTCCCATAGTAGATCTCATTTCATTTTTTATTCTGTTAACGCCCGTATGCACCGTACACGTTTAATCCAGATCAAGGGTTTAATCGCGTTTAGTACCATTTTTAGCTATGGTACTAAACGCGATTAAGCCCTTGATCTGGATTAAACGTGTACGGTGCATACGGGCGTTAGAACAGCTTTTCACGGGAAGAGTTAAGAATATTCTTATGGCAATTTCCAGGTTCGAGTGTCATATACCCTTGATAGTGAAGGCACTCATGGATAAGAAAATCAATGTCAAGATCATTTAGGTTCGATTCAGCTAGCCTCTTTGCTTCTACGTTGATCTTATGCGGATCTTTGTCGTGAAGGCCTTTGAAAATTTTAAATCTGGTACCGAGTGAAGAGTATACCTTTCTATGCGATGTCTAAGTTGACAAGTCATGTTGATGATGATTTTGATGTAAACACTAGTTCTAAATGTATTTCTTGAAAATGTCACTGCTTCATCTTCTAAGTCACCATTTTTATCTGCAAATCGTTTCCGTGTTCTGTTGCGTTGATAATTGACACTGTCCATAGCTTTCTTTTCGTACTCATCAAAAGAGTCTCTTTTGCTCTTAAAAAAATTTGTAGGATTTGTAATCTTTATTGGCGGAAAGAAGGTCCAAATCTTCTTTTTGAAGGTTGTTGCTGGTCTTATCTACTCTTTCCAATATATCATTTAAAACTGTGGCAAGAATGCTTGTTTCTAGTTGACCCATCTTCTTTTCAAATCCCTCTGCGGATATTCTTGTTTCTGGTTTTTGGGAAACGTCCTGAGCCAGGCTTTCAAGGGCTTGTTTTATTTCATTGTAGCCCCGTACTAAGCTCTTGCAGACCATCTTGTCTCACTTAATGATTTTGGCAAGGTGATTTTCGGTTCTTTCTCTTGTTTTCCATCGTTGCTTTTCGGTTCTTTCTTTTGTTTTCCATCGTTGCTTTTCTTTATACATTCTTTTAGAAGACCCCATCTGCAAGTTGAAGAAGAAAAGAAGGACTTCTCTGCAGCATAGCAACCAACTAATTTTATATAGTGGGCTGTGCACTGCACAAAATCTGCAGTATGGTCGCTTTCCTTAATTCTGGTTTGGAGACCAGTATATTTACCGGACATATTTGAGGCATTAGTATAACTTTGTCCTCGACAGTTTTCAATACCAAGTTTTATATCCAAAAGATCCACAACTTTGTTTTCCAGGCTTTGTGACTGACGACTGTACAACTGTAGTAGGGTGGGGGCGCAGCGCTGGCAGCGGTGTAATTGTGGCTGATTGAGGGAGAGGAGGTGTGCGTGAGCAGCTGATTACTGTAGTCTACCGCCCTGGATAGTGAGTGCGCCCGGTTCATACTGCTGCGCGCCCTGTCTATACGAGACATACTGCTTTCTCTTCAATCACTCATCCATTAGATCGAACGTTTTAATCTGAAGGCATATTTTATTGTATTTTTACATTTTCAACAAGGGAAAATCACTTAACAACAAGTTGAAGTTACTCGTTTTAATTTTAGTGTTTGAAATCCCTGTTGGTCAAAACCTATTTTTTTTTCTTTCCTAGCGCGGGCGCCCCCCAACCACCGGCGCCCCTGGGCATCTGTTCAGTCTGCCCGTTTATAAAAGCGGGCCTGGGGGTGCATGCGATGTAAACCTGGTCCCTCGAGAGTGGACCCCATTCAGAAAGGTTCCGCTTTTTTTTAAATATCGATAGTCTGTATTCGATGAATCATTTGATGTCAACATCGATGTTTTAAAAAATTTGTGCATCCCTAACCTATGTACTTACATAAAACATCTTCTTCCTTTATTGGGCTATATCCCACAGGATATTCTACATAAAACTTATACTCTTAGTTTAAAGAGACCAGTATTTAACCTGTGCGTATGTTGCCAATTTCTAGAGAAAGGTTAGCGGAGTGGGGGAACTGTGAGGAAACCATAAACTTCATATTAGAGAGTTGAAAAAATGCTATAAGCGTATACGTGAAAATTAACATCTACGCATGCGTATTTAAATATCGTTCACGTCTACGTACATACGAAAGCTTACGTATGTACGCAACGCAAACAAAATAACCTCTTTTTAATTGGGAAAGAAGAAATCCTGATATTAATTGTCATTATCTGTCATGACACGTAAATGTCACGATGCATTCAACAACTTCAACTCAGATTTTGAACTTCAACGTAAATTCTGCGTTGACGTTCACGTTAACGAACTGGAAATACTTCAACTCTATTATCTAAGCTAGACCCTCTCTTCACACTGTTTAACCAATACATCTAGTGTTTCGGTGTCAAGCAGAAACATAAAATATAAAATAATAATTTAAAAAACGGACTTTAAAGTGATTTTTGTATAGTGTGTGTCACTTTTGTTATAAAGATGCGAATCAAAGGTATTTTTTAGCGAGTGTATGGTTTAAAATATTTTCGACTGTTTTAAACCGTTTAAATTTTAGTGATGCAACTATGACGTCGTGTACGAAATATTTTAAACCAAAGCTAGAATTTTTGAACCAGTCGGAGGCATATGGTTCAATAACGGTTGACACATAAGAGATTCTGATTGTGGCTGTTGTATGTTGTTTTGCTCTGTTCCATCTTTGAACATTTTGATATATTTGACGTTTTGTTGATTTTTATTGATTTTTGATAACTTCATACATATATTATGTGATTCATATTCATACATTAATTGGTTATAATGTTTTAATACAAATATTAATATTTATGGTCATCATAAACAGTTGAACAATGTGATCTACCTATGGGTTACTCTTGATTATGAAACAATAATTCAATTAAAGTAAGGTTAAAGGATTACTTATTAAGTGTACGTTTTTTACAAAAATAATTACGTAGTTTGCTTCAGATTCTGAATTTGCCAGCACATATTTAAAAGCAATTAAACGTTCTTTGGCAGTTGATGAACTTTGGAAAAGCCCAACAAATCTACAGCAAATAATCGTTAGACAATCGCGTATCTGTGGAACTACGGAATAAATATGATACCATATGTTTATTGACAAGAAAAATACCAAAAATAAAATAATAACGTTTCAGATTCCAATGTACCTATTAAAAACACTTCAATTTTTACTTAAAATCGCTATCAAACACTTATCTTCCTTCATCTGATTTAACAATCATTAAAAAAAAAATACGATCAAAAAAATTTTGTCATATGACAGCAGATTATATTTTTAAAACACCCTATTTTTGCCATCTAATAATTCATGACGTCACTTTAAATATGGTTTAAAAAATATTTTAAACCAATGTGGTGGCTAAAAAACAGCTCAAATTTAATAACATCCTATATGGTTGGGTCTTTTTTAACATCTTAAGTAAGATAAATTATCTACATGGAAAAATTATGCTGTAAAAATAAGAAATGTTCAATATACGCACGTCAGAAAACAAGTATTAGAAATTAAAAATTTAAAAAAACCGACTTCAAAAACGTGCAGGTGCCATCACCACATCTTAACCAAATTTATATGGAACCACCCCTGAAGTACCCCCTTACTAACAAAAAAAGGAATCATATAAATCGGACAAGGTGGTAAAGCATTATCGCTAAACATACATAAAAAATGAAGAGTGAGGATTTTCTCATGGACCCAATTATTAGATTTTGAATAAATTTATATGGGACCACTCCTGAAGTACCCCCTTTCTAACAAAAAAAGAATCATTGAAATCGGACACCGTGTTAAAGAATAATGGCTGAATATATATAAAAAAAAATATCGCGACGAATTGATAACCTCCTCCTTTTTTGAAGTCGGTTAAAAATCAAATCTACTAAAAAAAAAAACAGATTATCCATTTATCCTACTATCTTATTTATTTTGAGATTTTAATCGAAATAGGCCAAGAAATTACCTCTTTCAGTATTGACATGGTATTTAGGAACATCATGTATATTAGAACTATACTAGAATGGACAAACATATTATTTAAAAAAGTATATTTGGGGTAATAAATTTTGAAAATTTATGAAGGGGCTTACAAAAAATTTAACAATTAATTGGGCACTGTAGAGTAAACCCTATTATTTTTAGTTTGTAAAACATATTTTACTTTTGTTAAAAATCTGATGTGTCCAACACATGACTTTCCTATCTAGTTATTACAGGCTTTTTCCGTTTATTGTGTACAACCTATTGCAGCATCTCTATAAATGTTTAGAGGATAAACTAAATATATACATTGTCCACATGCATCTACCGCGAAACATTTTTCTATAGATATTCATTGAAAATGAAAATACTGAAAAATTTAAATTTAGCACTTTTCCTACAATTTTTCCATTACGGTCCATTTAAAAAAAATCATGTATGAACAAATATTATAGAGATCGATATCGCAAACAACTTTTATTTCAACAATTTTCATAAAAATCAGAATTTTGCACATTTTGTCAAATTTCTCGAATACGGACCATTTCAGGAAATTTTTACATAAAGCAAAAATTATAGATAATAATATTAGAAGTAACTTTTATTTGAACAATTTTCATAAAAATCAGAATTTTGCACATTTTGTCAAATTTCTCGAATACGGACCATTTAAGGAAATTTTTACATA